GGCCAATATCACTCTAATACCAAAACCAGGCAAAGACACCACCAAGAAGAAAATTACAGACCAATATCCCTGATGAACATAGATGCAAAAATACTCAACTAAATATCAGCAAACCAAATTCAAAAATACATCAAAAAGATCATCCATCATGATCAAGTGGGATTTATCCCAGGGATACAAGGATGGTACAATATTCGAAAGTCCATCAACATCATACACAACATCAACAAAAAGGAGGACAAAAATCACATAATCATCTCGATAGATGCTGAAAAAGCATTTGACAAAATTCAACATACATTCATGATAAAAACTCTCAACAAAATGGGTTTAGAGGACAAGTACCTCAACATAATAAAGGCCATATAAGACAAACCCACAGCCAACATCATACTTAATAGCGAAAAGCTGAAAGCTTTTCCTCTAAGATCAGGAACAGGACAAGGATGCCCACTCTCCCCACCTTTATCCAGCATAAAAGTGTTACACTGGACATCCTCGCCACAGCAATCAGACAACAGAAAAAAATAAAAGGCACCCAGATTGGTAAGGAAGAAGTTAAACTCTGTTTGCAGATGACATGATATTATACATAGAAAACCCTGAAGACTTCACCAAAAAACTATCAGAACTAATAACTGAATTCAGCAAAGTAGCAGGATACCAACTTAACACATATAAATCTGTTGCATTCCTATATACTAATGATGACCTAGCAGAAAGAGAAACCAGGAAAACAATTCCATTTACAACTGTATCAAAGAGAATAAAATACCTAGGAATAAACCTAAACAAGGAGGTGAAAGACCTTTACTCTGAAAACTACAAGACACTCATGAGAGAAATTAAAGAAGACACCAATAAATGGAAATACATCCCTTGCTCATGGATAGGAAGAATTAATATTGTCAAAATGCTATCCTGCCCAAAGTAATCAATGCAATCCCTTTCAAAATTCCAATGGCATTCTTCAACAAACTAGAGCAAGTATCTAAAATTCTTATGGAACCACAAAAGACCCCTAGCCAAAGCAATCTTGAGAAGGAAGAATAAAGCTGGGCAGATTATGCTCCCCAACCTCAAGGTCTACTACAAAGCCATAGTAATCAAAACAATTTGGTACTGGCACAAGAACAGACCCATACAATGGAACAAAATAGAGTGCCCAGATATAAACCCACACATTTATGGCCAATTAACATACAACAAAGGAGCCATGGATATACAACGGGGAAAAGACAGCCTCTTCAACAAATGGTGTTGTCAAAACTGGACAGCTGCATGTAAGAGAATGAAACTGGACTATTGTCTAACTCCATACACAAAAGTAAACTCAAAATGGATCAAAGACCTGAATGTAAGTCATGAAACCATAAAACTCTTAGAGGAAAACAGAGGTAAAAATCTCTTGAATATAAACATGAACAACTTTTTCCTGAATGCATCTCCTTGGGCAAGGGGAACAAAAGCAAAAATGAACAAATGGGACTACATCAAACTAAATAGCTTCTTTACAGCAAAAGACACCATCAGCAGAACAAAAAGGCACCCTACAGTATAGGAGAATATATTTGTAGACAATTTATCTGATAAGGGGTTAACATCCAAAATACATAAAGAATTCACATGCCTCAACACCCAAAAAGCAAACAACCCTATTAAAAAATGGGTTGAGGATCTGAACAGACACTTCTTCAAAGAAGAAATTCAGATGGCCAACAAGCACATGAAAAGATGCTCCACATTGCTAATCATCAGGGAAATGTGAATTAAAACCAAAATGAGATACCACCTTACACCAGTTAGGATGGCCTCATCCAAAATATAAGGAACAATAAATGCTGGCAAGGATGAAGAGAAAGGGGCCTCCTACACTGTTGGTGGGAATGTAAACTAGTTCAACAATTGTGGAAGGCAATATGGAAGTTCCTCAAACAACTAAAAATAGAAATGCCATTTGACCCAGTAATTCCACTCCTAGGAATTTATCCAAAGAAAACAACATCTTTGATTCAAAAAGACATATGCAGCCTTATGTTTATGGCAGCACTGTTTACAATGGCCAAGATATGGAAGCAACCTAAGTGTCCATCAGTAGATGAATGGATAAAGAAGGTTAGTACATATACACAACAGAATACATTCATCCATAAGAAGAAAACAAATCCTATCATTTGCAACAGCATGGATGGAGCTAGAGGTATTATGCTCAATGGAATTTCAAGGGCCACATAATTGCCAAACCAATACTAAAGAAAATAAAGGTGGAAGACACACTTTCCCAATTTTAAAACCAAGCAACAATAACAAAGACAGTGGGGTACTGACATAAGACAGAATTAAAGACCAATGGAAAAGAATTGAGAATCCAGAAATAAGCCCTCACATTTACGGGCAATTGATTTTCAACAAGAGTGCCAACACAATTCACTGGTGCAAAGAACAGACTTTTCAACAAATGGTCATGAGACAACTGGATATCCCACATGCACAGGAATGAAACTGGACTTCTACTTCACATCATATACACAAGTGAATTCAAAATGATTTACAGACCTAAATATAAGAGCTGAAACTATAAAATTCTTAAAAGAAAACATAAGGGTACCTCTTGGTAACCTTATATTAAGCAATGATTTCTCAGATATGACACCAAAAGCAAAAGCAATAAGCAATGAAAGGAAAAAACAGATTAAATGGATTTAATCAAATCTCGAAGTTTTGTTCCTCAAAGGACACCATCAAGAAAATGAAAAGACAACTCACTCAATGGGAGAAAATATCTGCAAGTCATGTATCTAATGAGTATTCATATATAGAATATATAAAGAACTATTACAACTCAAGAGTAAAAAGACAACGTAAAAATGAGCAAAGGCAAGAGTGTTGGCAAGAATGTTGAGAATATGGAATTCCCCATACTCTCCTGATGGGAATGTAAAATGATGCTGTCATTTTGGAAAACAGTCTGGCAGCTCCTCAAAAAGTTAAATGCAGTCATCATTTGGCCCAGAAACTCCACTCTTTTAAGTATACACTCAGGAGAAATGAAAACATATTTTCGCATAAAAACTTGTACACAAATGTTTAGTCTCGGTAAAATAAAGCTTACGCCACATAAAAGTTTAAAAAAAGAAATGTAACAAACAAGTACTCTGATAATATTTAAGTGCAGATGATGAAAAATAATCAGTTTGGGGTAGGGTTAGGCTCTTTAGAGAAAGGGAATCTTAAACACTATCATTCAGTAACCTAGCCGACTAAAAGACTAACATTTTCAGCACTACTTGCTAAATATACTATATAATAGTAAATTAAAACATTTACTATTCACTAGCCTTTAAAAACCCTGCAGCAGTACTGTGATAATTATAATTTCGTGAGTGGATAGTCTGAAAAGGCTCACAATAACAAAAAACATTTACATCATTCTCGTAAGAGCCCACTGAGGGTAAAAAAATATCAACTCCCTTGGGCTGTAAAATCCCAAAATATAGTCAACAAACTATAATGGCCAAAACAGAAAGATGCACTTACCCTCGGCAGTTTTAATCATTCTAATGAAATTCTGCACTAAAAAAAATAAATACCCATATATATGGTAACTCTTTTCTTCAATGCTGAACGATTGCACAATCATTTGGTACTGGGAACTTTTTCAAAGAAACCACAGGGATGCTAGGTGAGTTAGTTCTTCCAAATGTCTCCGGACACCTACATTTGAAGTTGTTATTATACAGATTAGTTTATTTCTTTTTTTATGCCATCACACTAAAAGTCATGGTCTGTGTTAAACCAAACCTAACTACTTCCAACGAAAGTGTTAATAAAAGGTGCCAAGTGTAACTGTGATATTTTCACTTTCCTGGTTTTAAAATAGGAATATCTATTAACAATTTGGCTACAAAGGCAATCGAAATTAACCTAATCATTAAAAAATAAGGGTCCATAAACATATGCCTTGTAAAAAATTAGTATTTAAGAATTTAAGGTTTAAAAAAAATCCACAGCACTTACTTCTTCAGTTTCTGATCAATTATAGTCATCAGAAGCATATGTATAAAGTCACCAATAAATGTAAGGTAAGGTGAGATCTGATTGGCTGGTGGTATTTAGGCATACTCAATGGAGTTTTGAAATGAGCAAAGGGAAGTAATTTGATCACTGATGCCATGCCACTTATCAGAAAAAAGTGTCTCCAAATACCGCTGCCATCCTGTACCCCTGGTTTTTCAGAGGTAGTAGTTATCTAAAAACAGTGGTTTGTTAGTTAATTTTCGTAAGAACCTTCTTAGCAAATGGATAGTGAATCGCATAAGGATCTCAGAAAAGGCTCCAAGTGCATAAAGAACTAGATGGAGAAGACAGGAATAGAGCAGGGAAAACACCCTAGATTAAAAACTTGGAGGTAGCCAAGTGTTTTTAAAAGGTGTTTCAGAGACAGAATTTGGACACCCTTTCTCAGTTGTCACCTGCTTTGAGAGAGGGAGCTTTAAAACTTCCACAAAGCTTAGAATGCACCGAAGTGTCAACATCCGCACTGGGAAAAGGAGGCCTGGGACAAAACGAAAACACCCAGTAAGGGTGGGCCTTCCAACCCCCCTTCAGATCTTAGAAGAAGCAACGCCAGTAATACGGCGCAGTGGGGCTCAGTCCGGTGTTCCCGCGCGTCCCTATTCCCCCCGACCCCGCTACCTCACAGGGGACCCAACTTTTCCCGGCCGCTCGGCGGGGGTCCCAAAGCCAACCCCAAGCCCCTCGGGCAGCCTCCGGGGCCTCCCCCGCGCCCTAACCGCCCCCCTGAGCCCTCCCGCCGCGGCCTGCCACCCCCCGGCCGGCGCCCCCTTCTCCCAAAAACGGGTCCGGAGCGCGGGCTCGGCCGACGGCAAGGAGCCGGAGAGCCGCACTGCACCCAGCCCTCCCGGCCCCGTCAGCCCCGTCAGCCCCGTCAGCCCCGTCAGCCCCGTCAGCCCCGTCGGACTCTCCCGCCACTCACGGACCCGCTCGAATAGGTCCCGCTCTCCGGCGCAGCGCAGGACTTCCCGGCTTCCTTCCGCAGGGCCGCCGCTGCCCGCGCCTTTTGTTGTCGTGAGTTCTCCCAGCAACCGACAAAGCCTGCTGCTGACGCGCCAGGCCCCGCCCCCTGAGAAGCCCCGCCCCCTCCGCTCAGCTGCCGTGCGCCTGCCGCCTGGGGGCCAGCCCCGCAGCCTGACCACGAAGCCAGCACCCAGGGGGGGGTCTCTGGGTGCTCAGCCAGAGTAACTCCGCGGGTCTGGAAAATAAATGTGAGAAAGATTAACATTGACTTTAAATATTTTAGTGGCCAATTCAATTTATTTTCATTGAAGTAAAGTTTGCAAACATAAAATGGACTATTTTAAAGCGTGCAGGTCAGGCGCTTTGGCCGTTCACAGTGTTTTGCGCAGCCATCACCTGTGTGGTTCCAAAACATCTTCACCACCCCGAAAGGAATTCCGTGTGACGTTTAGCAGTCACTTCCTTTCCCCTCTCCCCCGGAATCTGGGAACCACTAATCTACTTTCTGTCTCCATGGATTTACCTGTTCTTCGTATTCATGCAATTAAACAATTTGTGGCTTTGTGCCAGGCTTCATTTGCTAAACAGTGTTTTCCAGGTTCATCCATGTTGCAGCATTTATAATAACGTTCATTCCTTTTTATGATACTAGTCCATCATATGGACATACCACATTTTATTTATCCATTCTTCAGTTAATCGGCATATGAGCTTTTTCCATTTTTTGGCTATTATGAGTTGCTGCTATAAACATTCATGTGCAAGTATTTGCTTGCTGTCTGTATTTGTACATTAAACAGGTATTTGTTTAAAGACTGTTTTAGTTCTTTTGGGTATAGACCTTGGAGGGGAATTGCTGGATCTTATGGTAACGCAATGTTTAACTTTTTCAATTTAGTTTTAAATGCATCAAGCCCTGCCATTTTTAGTAGCACAATCTAAGTACCCTCAAAAAGCATTCATTCTCTCATGAAATTTAGGAGTGAAGGTGAGGGAAAAAAAGCTGCTTGTAAGATAAATTCTAGCTGAAATAAGCAGGTGATGAGAGGCAACAAAGGGCCAGGCAGTTTATTTGAGCGTAATTCCCGGGCGATGTTCCCCGGTCTGGCTAGTTACAGGCTGGGAAGTCACCCATAACCAGATATGCAGGGAGTTTTTATATGCACAGGGAGGGGAGGGGGAAGTGGGCTGCATTAGGAGTATGTGGGGAATTTTTAATTGGCTCAGGGTCGGGTGATGGACAGCCAGAGGTCTCTTCCTTCAGGATGCAGGGGGTCTGCATCCGGGGTTTGTCAGCATGTCAGGGGACTGGAATCCCGGAAGAGCTGTCCATTCCTTCCTTATATGGCACAGAGCTATTTGGTGCTGTCTTTGTTCCATTTGCACTGTCCTCGCTTTCCTCCCTCCAGTGCCTCCAGCCTTACACTCCAGCCTTTTGGTCATAATGGGCGATGACTCAATCTGGCTACTTCTGGCTAACAAGGGGCGTTGTGGGGTGGGGGGTTTCTTAGCATGTAGTTACATTGCTCTGACTGCAAATATCTTGTCTTGCTTTCTCCAGAGGCTCTCACCTTATTCTGTCTAAGCCTATGGTCCCTGTCTCATTCTCCTCTCTACAGATTGAGACTCTAGCTGTTGCTAGGGAAAAGGGGCAATGACCGCTCTGACTGCTTCATGCTGACAGGGGGCGCAGTAAAGGGTGCAACTAGGTTTCTGTTAATGGTCAGGGGAGAGGGCCTCAGGAGGTCAGTGCTTCTATTCTGGGTTTCATTTCTATTACTATTTGCAGTTTTGTGGCTTCTAGGCAAGACAGAACAAATTGTGTTATTAGGTTAAGTGGTAATATCTGGAGTTGGATTTTCCATTCTGGAAGGACAAACTTGATGAGATTAAGAATGCATGGTACAATATGAGAACTAGAAATAGTAAAATTTTAATTGAAATGATAAGAGAAAACTAAAACCTCTGGGAAATCATAGCCAGATATTTTGAAGAAGCGAGAATTCTGGATCTAGTTTATCTCCCAATGACTAGTATTAGGATTTAGTACAGATAAGGCTGCATTATTGAAATAATACTTTTCTCTAAAATCACTCTCATTTTTATTAGAAGTAGCCAGATTAAGAAAAGCAATTAACAGTTGGCTTGATTATTTGCATAAGTGCAGCAAGAAGAGTAATTGATTACATGGGATCTTTTAAATATGCTTTGCTGGAAGGAATTTCAGATTGAACTTTTAAAGGCCTCTTGAGGCCAGAAAGCCAAGCCAGACTTGCCATCAGGTTGTGCCTTCAGTACCTGTACATTTGGGTGAATTCCTCTCTTCTTGAGGTTCTCAAGACATTCCTGAGGTTCATGTACTTGCCAGGAAGTGACCTTCCTTACTCACCTGGTAAGGCCACTGGGAACTCTGTAAGCAAGGTACCAGGCCAGTTCTTCTAAGGGGCTTCCTTGGCTTTATAAAGTTAACTTTAGTTCTTTAAAGCTGTTCACATCTGAGTTTATGCATGTGTCTCTCAGGTATGACATTCTAGTCAAAGCCTTGGTAGTATGACCTGTGTTTTTAATTGGTCCTCTTACAAGGAAAGCAGGTTCTTATTGAACTTATGGAAATTAACATACTGCCATGAAATATAAAAATAGTCACTGAGAGTTTTTAAATTTTGGAGGTATCAGGTAGAGAGAAAGATAAAGTTTCAATTCTGCTTATAAAGATAGTCATTTAATAAACTGTTGTTAGCTTAAGAGAAAAAGCTTAAAGCACTTTATCAGCAACACTGAAACAAAAAGCCACAAAATCATCTTCTTTAGTTTACTTAATCCTATGTAACTAATAGTTGTTCTGCTGAAATCTAGTTTTTCACTAGTTTAGAAGTAATAAAACAGTGACTATAAATGACAAAAGACTTACAAATGATAATGGTTAAAGATCTGATGAGAGCTTACTGTAAGACAGTTGTCATAAGGAAATTTGGATATTTCTGTAACACAAAACATTCAGTAACAAAGTTTAGCATCAGTCCTTTTGACAGTGCTTTCTAGGTAATTAAGCAGGTAATTATATATCAGATAAATAAGCCAAATCAGCCAAATACTTTCTCCAATGAGAAAAAGTTCCTCTGACATGTTCCAGGGGCCCTCTGGAAAATATCAGAGTTAACTAGAGATAAAAGTACCTTTTTGAATTTGATTTTTTTTTTGGCACTTGCTTAAATAGGATTATAGGTTGCCATAAAGCAATACTTATCTATTTAACCAGAATGACAACAAAATACTTCAAAGGCAAATAAAGAAGGTTACACAGTTGTTAGCAACTTTAAGCTTTTAGTCTTTTTAATATTAAGATCTCATTTTCTTAAATACTCTGACAACTCACTGAGACTTTAAGCATGAGAAACTGCCTTGATAAAATAGAGAACCCATTGCAATCTTTTAATATTAAGAGCAGACTAACAGTTAAGAAAACTTTGTCCTTTTTAACTGAAAACAAAATTCTAATTTTGCTGTGTACTTGATACCGAGACTCATTTTCTTTAATTTTATATAGCATGACCAAATTAAATTCTTCTACAAACTTTCTACAACCTTTTCACATTTAGAGTTCTCCCTTTAAATAAACAGCTGTACTTTAGAACAAAGTTACTTTCTTTTATCAAAAGACACATTCTTTAGCATGCAGAAATGTTTTCCTTATTACTTTAAGTAGTATTTATTAGAACTTAAAACCATTACTTTAACCTTCAGTGAACACTGAAAAATAGGCCACTGTAAACTGTTACACTTGGATTCTTCAGATTGATACATCTATGAACATATATTATCATTTTTGGAAATGTGCTTTACAGCACAATTTCTCATTAGGCACAAAATATATCTATATAACTTAGCAAACTTTAAGAATTTTGGTTACCACAAAAATTCTCAGACTGTTTGCATATATATATACACTGTTATAAATTAATACAATATTATTATTAAGATGTTTATTTGCTACACTTATTTTTAGCAACCATGCTAGATTACTTACAAAACTTTTACCAAACATTAGACAAAGTCAAGCTTTTCTTTAAGCACCTTCTTGAAATGTTCAAGAGATAACATCAACTTAAATGACTTTAAGTAAACTTTGGCAGCTGATAACTATAAGGACATGTTTGTTTCAGTTAAACTTAAATTAGCATTAATGCTTAATATTTTTATTAGATTTACTGGAAGTTTTAGAATGTCCAATTTTCATAAGCACTTCTTTTTAAATCAATTTTTATTAATACCATCCAGAGGTAGGAAAATATTTTTCATTTACACACTTAGACACACAAACATACAAACTGAGACATAACAACTACAGTTAGCAACACTTTTCATATAAAAACATATACACAGACAGACAAACTGATATAAAGATTTGAGTTAGTGATATTTAATTGCTTTCTTTCTTTTTAGCTTCTTGTCTGTGGTTTCCAGAACCAGAGGGCAGGAGGAGCATGTTCCAGTGGGGGAAGAGGGCAGTGGAGGTGGAAGGAGAGGAGGAGGGGGTGGTGCAGCCACTGGAAGAGGAGAGGAGCAGGATGATGGCATGGTTGAGAATGTAGGACTTCAAGATGGCAGTAACATGGGGAAGGAAAAAGAACTTAAAGATGGTGGCAGAGAGGGGTGGGGGTAGTGAGCTGAGAGAGGTGGGAGACTAAGGTCCTCTTGTGGATCTGAAAAGGAAGAAGGACTGGGCAGAGTAAGAGGCTGACAATCTTTAACTGGAGATCAGACCAGGAGAACCTGGGTAATTGAACAATTAACATAAAGGTCTGGGCGGGAGTGCGAAGTCCAAAAAGCCTGCACATATGGGATTTCACTCTACTGTTTGCTCTGGTGGCAATAATTAGTCAAGTTGGTGAGGAGGCCAAAATCGAAAGCTCCCTCAGGGGTCCAGTGAGATTGATTGTCCAAGGGATACTGAGGCCCAGCCTCAGAGCAAAGAAAGACTAGCTTCTGTTTGCAAACTTCCCGGGACAAATATAGAGTAGTCAAATTAGAAATGAGACACCACAGCGGCGTCTGAGCTTCTGCTTTCAAGGG